ATTTGACATTGATTTACAAGACTACTAGACCAGTAGTCTTCATACCTGATTGCTGATCTATACTCTATACTAAATTTAAAGCTGAAGAATTTGTTTGTTTGTTTGATCGCGCGATCAGGAATCTGGTAATACTAAGGCTATAAAACATCTGCGACCAACGAAAATAATTCATCTTTGGGCTGCCGTTGCATGCTGGTTACCTAAAAAAATCCCTTAAATGATTCGTCTATAAATGATCTAAAATATACGCGTTATTAAATGTCTATCTTTTAAGATAAAGACGCAAGAACGATGGGACACCGGAGGAGGTCGTAACTTTTCTACGCAGACGAAGTCGCGACCAAAGCTAGTCTCTAATAAAAGAATGGAGATAGTTAACGGAACGTAGAAATTGACAATTTCAGATGTAAATGCTTAACGAGAGAACCAGCAATCGTAATAATAATTGTTTATTATGCACCGCCTACATGCGCCCGCGCAGGCGTAACCATAGCAACGCGTAAACAACGGACTCAAAACGCTGATTGTTATTGTCATTGTAATGTATCCGAGTCGTCAATCAAAACAGCACGAACAAATTCTCAAATCGTTAAGGCGGCCAAAAGCAGAGAAGGCAGGACTCCGTAATGACGTGGAAAGTACGATGTTGCATTTTGGGCGGCGGCGCTTCGATTTAACTCTACCGAGACCTTATCTTATGGAATGAATGGAGGAAAGAAAGGAATGAGAAGGATGGTTCTAGATATAGCTTCTACATTTGGGCATCCCTCCATCTTTAATCTTAGCCATGACCACAGCTGCTGCGAAACATCTGAACGGTCGGGTTGTTGTTAAAACAAGGTGTTATCGTCAGCAGCATATAGCAAAGATATCTTCTACTGATTGTATCCAACCTTTTTAAAAGCGATAACTTTTGATGGGTCATGGGAGGGTAAACCGCTACTGTACATTGATATCTGTCTAGTTTCCTATTCTTTTAACTTAACACAGTGGCGTTATATATGGTGAGTATGTGAAAACCGGTTCGAGTCCCGCCCGTGTCGTATTTTTATCCAATCTAAATAGATTTTTAATTTAACTCTTTATTATTATGAATACCTTTAACCTTCTACCAATTAGTATTAGCCAAAGATTTAGCTTGAAACCGAATTAAATCACGTATGTTTCCAAAGCCAAGCCGCAGTTCTCGTCAAACTTGGCTATCGACGTATTAGACTCGCAAATGTCGACATTTTGTAGCCAACACTAACTTATAGCGATGAATATCGATGAAAAACACGCGTTTTAACAGCTAAGGTTGTGTTTAAACTAGATTCGGGATTAATAGATAGAAAAGTATCCTTACTGTAAAGTAGTCTGTAGCTTACGTGAGTAGTGCACATATAAATACTGTCTATAGTTTATGCGAGTAGTACACATTTAAATAAAACACTTAAACAGTTTAAAACGCGATATATTAGTTAAACTTATTTGAAAATGATTTTTAACTTCGGTCCGACGTTTCGGATGCTTTGCAGCAGCCGTGGTCACGGGGAGACAACCGCGATCTCCCCGTGACCACGGCTTGCAAGCACACATAAAATAAAAGACTTTTAACTGTTCAAAACGGGAAATGTTGGGTCATATTTAGTAAAAAATAGGTTAACTAATATACTTAACTATACTAAATAACTAATATACGCGTTTTAAACCGTAAAAATCGTTTTATTAATATATATCCTTATCGTTTAAATTAGAATCTGGTTAATAGATAGAAGGTATGCCTATATACAGTTAGGTACTATCTGTAGTTTACGCATAGAATGAAATAAAACACTTTTAACGGTTTAAAACGGGAAAAAATCTGCCTGTAATCAAGTAATATATTACGCGTTTTAAACCAATACAAGTGTTTATATGTAAATGAGGCAGACTGTTGTTCCAAGCTTCACGATTGTAAATGCGTCCTAAGAATATTATTCATCACGTCAGAACAGCTCGGCAGACAATCCGTGCTCCATTTTGATTGACGCTGACGCTACCAATACAAACAGACAAAATGGACGCTCCTTTTGTTCTTGCTTCATCATTTTCATAGTGCAGTCTTTGAGATTGAGTTAAACAATTCATGGGTCCTATATCCGTTACGTGGTAAAGATGCATTTTAATATACAGGAATATAAATACATATTTACTTATAAATGAAATCGATCGGTGAGACAGATACAAAAATATGTTTACCCCATTGCCCCCATAGCCCCCCCTTTAAATGAATATTGTCCCCCTTAGTAAGGTGTAATTTTTATATTTTAATTAATTGGTGGGCCTCAATTAGTTTGTTATTTTAATGAAACATAGAAGTATGTACCATTACTACCTTTCTCCAATAGCTCGACCGATTTTCATTATATTATTTGTACTGAAAATTGTGCTTCTGGGGCATGGGGCGGACAAATTACTATGTCCGTTTCACCGATCGAATTTATTTACAGGCCAGTTGATCAGACTAATGTGCACAACATCCTTTTGTTTCCCAGGGATTCGAACTTAGGACCCCTCGCGCTTAACGCAATTTAGGAACAGGTATTTCACGTTTTAAAAGTTTTTTTATGATAGAGTAGGACAGACGTTCGGTACATTTGATGGAAGGTGGAATACCCTGGCCAGGTAACTTCTGAACAGGATGCACTGTCCGCCTATTTTGGCTATTCGGAAAAAAGAGTTAAAAGAGGAGTCTATTTGAATGTGAACTTCTCGCGTAAACTACAGATATACTAGAGTTAGGCTATGTTAGACTAATTATGTCGAAAAAGCTAGTGTAGCTGGTAAACTAGTAAATTGTTAGCACCTTACAATTGCGAAATCCTTCACATAAAAAGGCAATTTATACGCCATTGATCGGGACGACGCATAAAGCAACCAGCAAATTCTTAACACTTGTATAACAGATAAAAATGTCTTAATGAAATTCGGGCACCGTTAGCTTGACAACATAATACCGCGCCTGCGCTTGCGCAAAAACTAACTAATGGATTGATTCGCACCGCGTTTTTCCATTCTCGCATTGTATGCTGAGTAACGGGCCCGATAAGTTATTAGAATTTGACACCGTAGTACGAGATTTGATGCGAAAACTTTTTAAGTAATCGATTTAAAAATACTTATACTAGCGTCCTGATCAGTTTACATACACCTAGTATGAGTAAATAAATGATATCTTTATGTCTGTCTGTATAGAATTATGCCATCTAAGTCGCTATTACAAATTAAGAAGCCAAATAACAAATATTGTAAGAATATATTTCCGTATCTCAACAAAATGGTTCATTTTATAGTTATTTTTCTTAAATAGCAAAGAAATCTTGATTGTCTAACCATTAGATAATTAATGATTAATTAAATGAAACTTTTATACTTTATTTTTTTAACTTTAACTTTTTTGTCGCATTTTCTTTCTCCATTATTCATTACATATTTTGTAATAAGTGGAAACTCATGACGTATAAATAAATGATAATATTATGAAATCAACATCTATAACGTTAGGGTGTACACCCTTCAATAAAATATTGTGAAAGTACATTCTTGTTATTGGTCTTAGGGGACGGATTTATAAGATCGCAGCTTATTTGATAGGTAGTGTATAATAGCTATGTAGTGTATGTATTATATTACGGAGCATAGGAGCGATAAAGTTGGAAAATCTGTAGTCAGATGGTTTGAAAATGTTAGACGAGTATAGATTGTGAATACTTAATGGCTGGGCCATATAACATCTTCATATCAGAAGAAGAAGAAGAAATTTGGAAATCGAAATAAATCACAACGCGATTAAATCTTTTTAAAATTGTTGATCTTTGGACGGAACTTCTATATGTTCATGCCGATGAAGTCCAACGTGAAAAAATATAAATTGATTAGAAATATTTTGGACCTATACCTACCCTACCACTTATGTACTAGACCAACTAACCCGTCTTTTTGTGTTTTTTTTTGATATCCTATTAAATAACCTCATTTTTTTAAATTACCTTAGCATTGCATTAATTGTCTTTTTTTATAGAATAAAATCTTTAGTTAAGTATCCTTTTACTGTTTTAATATAGATTAAATCGCCATTTTTCTTTGGTTCTGCCCAAGTGAAACATTATATCCTCTGAATGTGAATCAAGATATTTTCAGCGTCTCAGCTACAGAGTTGAAAGCCAACTGGTTAGTTCCAACTCCTTCAAGCAAGGATTGTATGTAATAGAAAAATCGTAGTTGACTTAACAACGATAAGTTTTTGTCCTCATTCGCGTCTATTAAGGGAGTATTATCCCTAATTCATCAGTCCTTGAGCGTGCAACAAAGAACCCCTAGGCTGATATCGAAGTGGATCAGCTGATCGATATGCAGTGGGACCGCATCGGCTATTCCGAACAAATCTGTGCCATCATTATACGAGAGACGCAAAAAAGCGTCCGCGGCGACACAGCGCGGCATTCATAAATAAATACATATTTCAGTGTGTGGTGCAAGGCAGAGGAAAATGTGAGGTTTTATTATTATTAGAGGCTTTGCCTTGCATGAGTTTGAATTAAACGTATTGAGTTATTTCTGAAACTTCATTTAAACTTTAGTACTTTTAAGCATTGTCTGTAATTTATTCGATTTATATTGGTTATTTCTCGATCTCTAAAAATATTAGTCAACATCGCTAGGTGGTGGCGCTATTAGGTGGTTTTTATATTTTATATAAAAGTAAACTGAAATATCGAGTCGTCCTAAGAAATAATTAATACAATTAGTTTTTTTTCGAAGTGAGCCAATTTCACATCCTTTGAATAATTATTTCCAAATACTCAAATACTGAACTAATTAGCTTTTAACAAGTGAAATACTTTTTTTTTTCTTAAGTGTATTGTATAATTTAAGTGATAGTAATTTAAGCCGTTGCAAACAGTTGCTTTTAAGTATCGATTGATAAAAAGTAATGACATCCATAAATTAATCACGCTGGAACTAAAACGCTTCCGCTCATGGCTTCCACCACGCGTTTAGATAAAGCCAGCACCGCTCGCTCACCAATGCGTCAGGCGTCGCGAAAAACCTGTGAAACTGCACGTAATGGCCGAGGAACATTTGTAAGATTATACCGCGAATTGTTCAAAATGACGTCCCACCGCAGACGTCACCCTGAATTTATGGCGGCCATAGATGACGTATGGCATAGAGGTGTGTACCGTCAGCATGTCAAGTGCGCGGAAGGTGTTCTGCTCCGTATAAAAGCAGCTATTTTTCTTATTGACACCTCTATTGCATTAATTATATTGTATTCCCTTGCAACTGAATTTGAATAAAATGTAGAAAAACATTTATCACCTAAAGTAGGTACTACCAGAAAAGCAGGAATGTCACATGGTACATTTTTCACTGAGTTATATACTGTGACTGATATTTAACCACACAATTCTTGAATAATTAATTTTTTTTATATTTTTTATTTTGAAATAAAGTACGTACACTTACGTACTTCATTTCAAAATAAAATAACTTTCAAAAATAGCAGTCAATATTTTAAAACTATGTATTATGTAGTATTTTTGACTATCGCATAATTATCTTCCCCATTGAAAAAATAAACTAAAGAAAGCAAATTCACTTATTCTAAATGTTAACATGTTCCATGTAGCGAAAAGAATGGGAGATAACTGTTCAAAGAGATTCCTACCAAAAACCTGGGTGTACATGAATTCATTCTTTACCTTTTCTACAAATTCCCTTCGTCGTGGAGTAAACAAAGATTCCACATCACTTTCTTTGTCCTTATAAACAATTCCGTAGTAGGTAATAGTCTACGTTTATTATTTTTTTCTTCTATGAATTTTATACAAGAAAAATTCTATTAAAATTTTACCTATTTTATTTGTTTGTCTGTCACTCTCAATGTAAATAACAAGAGAGTGTATGTTACAGTAAAACTTTGACAATTCTACATTCTGAGACGACATAGATTTATGTACCTGTAACTTAAGAATGTAAAAGCTAGTAAAAATTAAAATGAGTAATAAAATGTGAACAATAAAATATCATGCTCTGTGATCACCTACTCTATGTCCTACAAACGCGAGCAGTTTTTGCTGAAACAGAAGTGACTCCTAAATTATTTGTTTCTATGTTTAATTTATAACGCCATTTATTAAATATCCACACAACGTGACTCGTACAATGTTTTTCTATAACTAACTATACTACTAGTATCACTTATTGTGCTTCAAGATCAGAACAAGCAGTGGTTATATTATAATACAGGTTATTGATTTTTAAATGAAACATTATTGAGGTTTAAAACGCGAAATATTATATATAATAGTTCAAGTATGGTTTTCATATACTTTGCAGCAGATAGACATTGACACCCTCCATTTTCATTCCCCCTCAGACCACAGCTGACCACCGCATGTCATATTTTAGGTAACTCCTTAAGGTTAATAGTATGTACTTACGTCTACCTCTACCTTGTATTTGAATTTTATTTATATTGATGAGAGATGTGTAGTTAAATTCGATAACTATTATAACTTCACTTATGGGTTGACACCCGTCACGCCTGTGTTTAAATTCGGTGATTTATTTGTAAACAAATATTTTATTAAATTTATCATTTCAATAAGTTTAAGGTAAAAATTCTAACTTATACCCTTAAATAATGTTTAATTGGAGGAGATTTAAATAAACACGTTTTACGGTTTAAAATACAAAATATATTCGTAAATTTATTTTAACTACGGTTCGAAGTTTCGGATGCTTTTCTGGAGCCGTAGTCTAAAAAAGTTAAAAGTGATTTATTTAGATGTGTAGTACTCACGTAAACTATAGATAATACTTAAGATGGAGGTGGATTTTTTTTTCACCCTTTGGTGCGTTGAAACACTAACCATAATTCACATAATCAGATATTCTTTAAGAAATATTAAACACCTCTTCTATAATTGATTAGATTCCAAATAGCACTTCTCACTTAACGACCCCTACTAAAACTTCTATTGGGCACATGCTGTGAGTGGTCCAAGGCATAAACAATATTATGTTACAACATTACAATACGTATAATACAACTAAAATTAATATCATCTGTATTTCTTTAGACTTCTAGTTTCTATATATAGTCTATGGTTTGAAGAAAATGTAGCTGGTATGTTTCAAATTTCGAAAAAAAAATCTTTGATCCTTGCGTATGATAGCTAGGTCATGTCGGTCTTCGTCGAATTTCTTCATCTCTTATTTATTCTTATTATTTTAATTATAAATATATTAGAATGAATATTTTAAAAATATATCATAGGTTTTAAAAAGTAAGGTTTTAGCTTTGCACTGCTTTTCCTTTAAGCCATACAACTAAACTTTAATAAATCCTTGTAAAGATATGAACATGTAGTTATCTACATTTCGTGTATAAAACAAATAGCTTAAGGATTTACCTACATTAATTTATCGACTGCGAGGACTTTTTTATGTAGGTTAATCAACTAAAAATCTATTTAGATTAGACACAGGCGGGACTGTTGCTGTAGCTCTAACCAGTTTTGAAAACTAAAAACTGCCTCGTTGGTCTAGTAGTTACTTCACTCGACTTCAGATCTGCTGCTGTGTTAGTTCTGACTCTGTGTTAGTTGTAAAAAGACTGCCAGCACAAACTTTGGAAGTGTGTTTCTTAAATCACATGACCGAAGCAGTCGGTCTCGGTTATCAGCACTGATTTAGGCAGTCATGTAAAATCCCACTAACCCGCACCAGTGCAGTGTGGTAGGTTGAAGCTCCCTGTGCCCAGCAGTGGGACATTATTAAGGAAATGGAGGAAATTAAAAAGTCGCAATATACGAAGTAAGTACTTAGGCATCTATAAAATATACTTATGTACCTATATTTAAAAAAACGCCTAATACCCCGTTTCACTAAATTGCCTTTAACACTATTTATTCGAAACCCTAAATCATTTAAAATATCGCCCCATTACAGACGCCGATATTAACGCCTATAAAACCACAAAGTATTCAAGGAATCGGCCATTTGAATAACACAAAAATACACTATTAATCTTCCCAAATACAAAAACTGTTATTTACAGCCCCCGTCAGAGCGGACGGAATATAGATGTTTAACAAAACTCTACAAAGATAACTTTTTATTAATTCCCCATCGAAGGCTTGTTATAGATGCGAGTAATATAAGTATAGGTTAATAACGCTTGCTCGTGGTTAAGGAATGGCGTACACCAAACTTCAATATATATCATGGATTAGCTTAAAATATCTATTGGACTATATATATGTATTAATGACTTTGAATATACCGCCGTAGTATCTATAACTGTAAAATATGTAGTACAATACACTACTACTGTAGTTTACGCGAGTAGTAAACGCGGTATATTAATTGATTATAACTACGGTCTGAGGTTTAGGATGCTTTTCAGCACGTGACACAGTAAGCCGTGGTTTAAAAAATTAAAAATAATTAATATATTTCGCGGTTTAAACCGTTATAAGTGTTTTATTTAAAGAAATATTATGCTTATTTTATTATTTCATCATGGAGTTAGACGGAATCACAAAAGTTTTTTAATTTTTTAATTTTTAAAATAATACAATTAAATTACGTCAAAAAAAAGCCTTCACCTTGAATTAGCAACTGCTACAAAAACGGAAGCCCTAATATTTAAATTAAATAATTATCTTGTAATCTAATGTTTAACTGCCCAGTGTCCGCCGACCTTAACCCGATGTTATCAGGGCATTCGCAGAAGGACATATGCAGCTAATAAACTAATTGGGCCGGCCATGCTCGCGCCCAGCTTTTTATTAAACCGTAACAAAACTGATTCGATCTCGTCTCAATTAATTTGTCCCGAAGTGAACGGTTAATTAAAGACGGATAAATTAATGTTAATTTGGTGTAGTAATTAATGTAATGGTCGAATCACTTATTTCTAAACGTCTGTGTTATGTACATGTTATTTTTATGTGCCCCATGTGTTTCTAGAAGAAAATGCGTCCATGAAATTTATTTTAAAATGTATCCGATGTGTTCAAGTTTTTGTGTGTTATTTTTCTTAATTACAAAAAGGTATTTATTTTATTACCCTTACAGATAATATAAAGCAGCAGAGTGGCCTAATAACAAAAAAAAATATTGGTTTTTAATAACCAGGAAAATGCGCAATAACTTAGGCGAAAATGAATTTGTACTATTATTTGTGTAATTTATAATAATCAATTATTATGAATTTTGTTAACAATATCGGTCACTGTGCTCTTGTAGACTAATATTTTTAGACTATGAATAAATAACTCAAGTCATAAAGTTAGTCAGTTGGGCTTCTCTGCCTCTAGTGGCCTCGTGAATAGCTATCTGAGACAGATAGGTCGCATGGAGATGGAAAAAATAATGTTTCAACCTCTTAGGCAATGCAGTCCTTTATCCTAGCATCATTTTCCCGCGAAATTACAGCACCCATAAATCATCCCAGACGCATCACCTGTTGGTCCCACAAAGCCTTTATCTAAATTTGACATCGCGCTTCCAAGAACCGGGCGAGATCTCGCGATAGAGCATCGAAATTGTCATTACGGCATTTAAATAACGATAAACATCTTATAAATATAAAGTGTCGTTAATTTAAACAAGGTGATATACAAACGGACGTATTTCATGTGTCATGCTTGTCATTCAACTCTAGGACGGACTATTTTTAACAATTTAATATCAAATTAGTCGGCATAAATAACTACTTATTCTAACATAGCATATGTTACTACTAGGCTAGTCTTCTGGTGACCCAAAAAGCACGTTAAGACGTCGGTTCCGGTAATCATCACCACTTTAGTGACGGTGGTCGTTAAAGCCCGCCTATCCGCACTGGAGTTGCGTGGTGGGTCTAGTAACTGCAGACTAGCAGAATTAAGACTCAATTAGAATGTACAAAGTACTAAATTTTATCGAACACTTATAAAAAATATTTTGTTTTTGTTATTTAATAATTTGTTGAAATTAATATTTTAAATGTAAATAAATAGATCATTAATAAGAAAAGGGATTTCCTCTCTCCTTTTAGAATGAGATAGACCCATTTTATTTTTAGGAGATGAAGAAAGTACGTCCGCAGCCTTTATCGAAAAAACTTAAAAATGCCACTATAACAATAACTAATACATCGATTCGTACATGAATGTTTGTATAATTGACGTTCTTCCTTAAATATTCTTTATATACAGTATTTTTTTTTTAGTACTAAAATTGACTACTGTCCTAAATATCTTTGTGGAAACTTTTTTGCCTACTCTGCTTTTTTAGCTGAGAG